TTGTATGTTTATCTACATGTGATGAAGAATAACGCAGCACATTTTGGACTATGGATAGAATAGGGAACGGTTTTTTTTAAACGCCTGGAAATTTTTTTTTCTTTCCTTGCTGCCTGTGTATATCCTGTTGGGGAGATTGTTACATAGTTACTCCTAGATTGTAAGCTCCAAGGAGCAGGGCCCTCGAACCCCTCGTGTATTGCATTGTATTGTTACTGTACTGTCTCGTGTATTGTCTCCCATTGTAATGTACAGCGCTGAGCAAACTGTTGGCGCTATATAAATACTGTGGTGGGGTTGGTCTGCTCCTGTCACCGCAGAGCACCTTCCGAGTCCTCCCAAACCCCCCCTCCCTATCCTTCTCCTCCTTCGAGGTCCACTGCGTCCGACTATTCTCCCCAACCCCCCTGAAGATTGCTGTGATATACCGGCCTCCTGGATCCATACCCCGCTTCCTGGATGACTTCTCCTCCTGGCTACCCTTCTGCCTCTCCTCTGAGCTACCCACCATCATCCTTGGGGATTTCAACATCCCTGTCAACCTCGACAACCCGGACACAGCCCGTCTCCTCCACTTAACCTCCTCCTTTACACTTGCACAGTGCATACAATCCACCACCCACTCCGATGGTAATATCCTTGATCTCGTCTTCTCCAAATCGCTGCGCTCCCCACAACCTCACTAACACCCCCTTCCCTCTCTCTGACCACAACCTGATCACCTTCTCTATCTCCTCGTCCTCCAACGCCTACCCCTCCAAATGTCACACTACTACCAGCCGTAACCTCCGCAACCTTAACCCCGCCTCCCTCCACTCTGCAGCTGATTAACTCCATGACCGCATCCTCCCCCTGACCTGCCCCGACTTGGCTATGACCTGCCTACAACAATGCGCTCTCAACAGCCCTTGACTCACTAGCGCCTTTAACCACATGCAACATCAGACCCCGACCTCTCCAGCCCTGGCAGACTGATCACACCAAAACCCTCAAACGACAAAGTCGTGCCCTGGAGCGACTATGGCGCCAAAACCAAATCACAACAAGCCTTCACCCGCTACAAATCTGCCTTCCACACCTACACCGCCTCCCTCCATGCTGCCAAACAGACCTACTTCTTGACCTCATCACAAGGCCCTCTCCTCCAATCCTCGCCGACTCTTCTCTGCCTTCAACTCTCTACTCTCCCCACCCCCACACCTCCACCCAGCACCTCACTCACTGCCCTTGAGATTGCCAATCACTTCAAAAACAAGATTGACACAATTCGCAAGGACATTGCCGCAACTCACACGCCCTGGAGTAGGTGAAAAAAAAATTTTTTTGCACACTCAACCCGTCCCCTCTCACACAGCTACCCCCTTATCCCCCCTCCCCCTCGACATAACCCGCAGGGACTTTCGTCGCTGCTCAAACATCTCTCCAACCCCCCTTCACCCTCACTCAGCTACCTCCTCATCACCCCTCTCCCACGGGCCTCACCACTGCTCTGACCTCCTTTTCCACCCCACCCAGACACCCTTCATTCCTCATACTGAATCTCCCCCCACACTCCGCACCTTTGACCTTACTACCCATCGAGGAAGTCTCCAAGATCCTCTCTGATGCCCGCCTCACCACCTGCCCCTCGACCCCTATCCCCTCACAACTCCCTACGACCTTCCTCCTCTCCATCCTACGCTCCCTCACCCACATCTTCAATCTCTCCCTCTCCTTAGGCACGTTCCCCTCCCCTCTGAAACATGCACACATCCACCCCCATACTTAAAAGCCCTCCCTGGACCCCAATGACCCGAACAAACCTCAGACCCATCTCCCTGCTCCCATTTACATCTAAACTCCTGAGCGCCTAGTCTACACCCGCCTATGCTCTCCCCTCAACGACAACAACCTCCTCGATCCCCTACAGTCTGGCTTCCGTCCCCTACACTCCACCGAAACTTCCTTACTCAAACTCTCCAACGACCTGCTAAACCGCCAAAGCTAATGGCCACTATTCAGTGCTCCTATTCCTTGACCTCTCTGCGGCCTTTTCGACACACAGACGACCACCCCCTCTCCTCCTCAAAAAACTACACTCCCTCGCCCGCCTCAGAGATTCTGCTCTCCTGGCTCTCATCCTACCTGTCACAACGCTCCTTCAGCGTTACCTATAATGCTACCCACTCTCCCCCTCAACTCACTCCCCCTCTCTGTTGGGGTCCCTCAAGGCTCTGTCCTCGGGCCCCTTCTCTTCTCCATCTATACCTCCTCCCTTGGCCAACTCATACACTCTCACGGCTTCAACTACCACCTCTATGCCGACGACACACAAATCTATCTCTCAAACCCCCCACCTCACCCCCTTGGTCTCAGCCCGAGAATCACACACCTACTGAGCGACATATCAGACTGGATGTCGCTCCACTTGCTTAAATTGAACCTCTCCAAAACCGAGTTTCTTGTCTTCCCCCCAGCCCGAACACCACCCCCCATTGATTTCTCCTCCGTCACATTCAACAACGCTACCATCAAACCCGCCCTGCAGGCCAGAGTACTTGGTGTCATTCTGGACTCCAACCTATCCTTTCAACCCCAAGTCCAATCTTTAAACAAACTCGTGCAGACTCCACCTCTGCAACATCGCCAAAATCCGCACGTTCCTAACCCCAGAAACCACTAAACAGCTCATCCACTCTCTCATCATATCACGACTCGACTACTGCAACTCCCTCCTCACTGGCCTGCCTCGCCGCTGGCTATCCCCGCTTCAGTCCATCCTGAATACGGCTGCCAGACTCATTCACCTTTCCAACCGCTCTGTCTCCGCCACCCCCCCTGCCAATCCCTCCACTGGCTTCCGATTGCGCAACGGATCAAATTCAAAATCCTAACGCTGACGTACAAAGCTGTCCACCATACTGCCCCGAACTACATCACTGACCTAATATCCAAGTACCGCCCAGCATGCACACTCCGCTCCTCGCAAGACCTCCTTCTCTCTAGTTCCCTGGTCTCCTCCTCCCATGCCCGTCTCCAGGACTTCTCCAGGGTGTCACCCATCCTCTGGAACTCCCTGCCCCAACCCATCAGATTATCACCTACTCTCCTCTCCTTTAGGCGCACCCTGAAAACCCATCTCTTCAGGGAAGCCTACCCCACCCCCTGCTAACTTGCAGACCTCCTCCACTCTTCCTACCACTCCATCCCCCACAGCTATCTCCTCCTGTACCACTATCCCCTCCCTCCTAGATTGTAAGCTCGAAAGAGCAGGGCCCTCGATCCCCTCATGTTTTGCATTGTATTGGTATTGTTCTGTCACATGTTCTGTCCCCCTTTGTAATGTACAGCGCTGAGTGAACTATTGGCGCTTTATAAATACTGTATAATAATAATAATACTGTGTAATAATAAAAATAATAATAATTTAGTCTGGCTGAAAAAAAGAGAAAAGTCCATCCAGTTCAACCATAGAATAAAAAACGTTACAATCCTACACCCACAGTTGTTCTTGGGTACCCATTGTTCTTCTTTTTTCGTCTTGGAGACACAAGCAGTTAGAGGAAATCTCCCTAAGGCTAGGTTCACACCTATGCAGGTTGCATTTGAGACATTTCAGCATTGCGTTTTACGTTTTGCACCGATGGTTTTGCCCTGTTTTGGATGCGTTTTGCATTTTTTTTCAGCTTTTTAAATTTTTCTTGTTGCTAGGCAGATTTAAAAACACAAAAAATGTGGCAAAAACGCACTACATGCTTTTTCTGCAGCATTTCCATTGAAGTCTATGGAACCAAAAAACTCAACTTTTTGCTTTTCGAAAAAGTCCCTGACCCATTCCAAAAACCGCACCGGGTGAAAACGCACAGATGTGAACGTGTCCCATAAGAAATCATGTTAAATGGACTGTAGTGCGTTTCTGAAAAACGCTGCGGAAAACAGGTGTGAACCTAGGGTAAAGAAAATAATTTCTATGTTGTAATCTTTAGAGATCTTTTTAGAATTAATTACATTACAGTACAGGCAGCTAAAGAGGTAGCTTGTGTTAAAGCTCTGCATCTGCTTGTTAAGATCACGGAAATACTTTAGGGCCCATTCGCACTAGAGCTCTGTCCGCTGCAAGGCATGCATTGTAATGTACTGACGCATGTAGCGGCATTCTTGTTTAAACAGCCTATTAAGAATATATGGACTAAGGGCCGGTTCACACTATAGAAATGCTGTCCAGATGTGTTCCCGGATGCGTTTCTGCATGTGCATTATTTACGAGTTTTTGGTGCGTTTCGGTGCATTTTTTATGCATTTTTTTTACGCGTTGTGCTTGTTTGATGTGTTCCAGTTTCTTTTGTCCCCCCTTTTTTTTCAATTTAAATAGGGACATATGCGTTCCAATGCATTTTGGTGCGTTTTTGATACATTTTACCATGTTCCAGTACAGTTCTGTGCAGGAAAAAATGCAGCCTGTTTTACTTTTTTTCTGCATTCGGAATGCACTGGAACTGAAAGCACTGATGTGAACAATGACACTGACAACCAAATAACCTACTTTCTGTGCTTTTTGGAAGCAGAAAAAAGCAACTGAAACACATGTATTGTAAATTGGCCCTAAAACACATCAACACAAAAGATTCTAGGGCAGGCTGCATTTTTCAAAGTGGGGTGCAGTTTGCTGGACCGTACTGCACTGGGTTTATTTACTAAAGCTGGATAGTGCAAAATCAGGCTCAGTCAGCTACAAACCGGTCAGCTTCCAGTTTTTATTGCCAATTTTAATTGAACAGGCTGAGGTTAGAAGCTGATTGGTTTCTATGCAGAAGTGAGCCTGATTTTGCACTTTCCACCTTTAGTCTAGGTTCACACCTAAGCATTTTCCACAGTGTTTTGCAGAAACTTACTACAGTCCATGTAACATGATTTCCTATGGACACGTTTACATCTCAGTTTTTTACCCGTGCGTTTTTTGGAAAGGGTCAGGGACTTTTTTTAACCTAGCGGTATTCCCGAGTGTAGCTCGGGGTAGAGCTTCAGTACCAAAAGCGGTAACCCCGAGCTACACTCGGGCTTACCATGCAGCGTTGTTCAGGGAGTCCCTGCAGCGCTTACCTTGTCCTTCGCTCCCCAGCGATGCGTCCCCTGCAGCTTCCCCGGCCATCTCCTCCGGCCGATGCCGGCATCTGGCTTCTGTGTTCCGGTCCCTGTGACGTCAGGATGTACGGGCGCCGGAAACCGGTGGCAAATTTGAAATTTTTTAAAAAAAATGTCATTTTTTTTAAAAATGATTATTACATAGTAAAACATTACTATATCAAACCATTTCACATACATTTTTGTCCCTAGTGCTTTGTCCTGTGCCCTGCCTACATTTTTACTGTTCTTTCTGCCTGGAAACTTAGAAAAGTCCATGGCGTCCAAAAAGCGTCCCTTTATGTTAAAATCTGTTTTAGACCAGCTAGAGAACAGCGATAGTAAATCAGAACCACTTGCAGAATTGAGTGATAATAATTTGTGGGGAAATTCGTCATCAGACACTGAAAACGATTCTGCGACTTTGCTCAGCGATGTGCGAACTTGGCGCTCTATTTCAAATTTCAGTGTTTTTGGTTTGATTATATTATTTAATAAATGTATTATTATATTATTATGTTTTATGATTATTTATTAAATTATAATTTATGATTTTGTGTTTCAAGTTTTATCATATCCGGAATGTTTACTAGACTCTTGGTCGGACAGATTTCAGTGAGTTATTCCTAAATTACAGGCCTACAATAAAAAAAAATACATATTTCCATGCAAAAAAATGGTACCGCTTTCAGCACCAAAAATCTGAAATATTCATACCGCTAGGGAGGTTAAATGCAAAATGTCGCATTTTTGGTTCTATAGACTTCAATGGAGACACTGCAGAAAAGCATGTAGTGCATTTTTGTGGCATTTTTTATGCATTTTTTGATCAGTTTTTTTTATCTGCCTAGCAACAAGAAAAAAAAAGCAAAATGCGGCCAAAAACGCATGTGCAAAAAAGCACCGCAGAAATCACTGCAGAAAAATCAAACACAAACTGCTAGCAACAAGAAAAAAAAGCAAAATGCGGCAAAAACGCATGTGCAAAAAAGCACCGCAGAAATCACTGCAGAAACAGATCAAACACAAACTGCATAGGTGTGAACCTAGCCTTAGTAAATAAACCCCTGTGGCTTGATTTACTAAAGGCAAATCTAGTGTGCACTTTGCAAGTGCAGTTGCTCCAGAGATTAGTAAATGAGATGAAGCTTTACTTTACAAGGAATACCCAATCACATGCAAGAGTAATAAAACCCCCCCAGCATTTTAATGATTGGACGATGGAAGTCATCAGAGCTTTACTAAGCTCTGGAGCAACTGCATCTGCAAAGTGCTCAGTCCATTTGTCTTTAGTAAGTCAATCCCTGTGTTGATTTGTTGGAGTGTATAATTAACGCCAGTGCCCTGAATGTCCAACGTCTTCGCACAGGTTCACTTTTCAATTTGTTTTCATTCAAAAGCAGCCATAGCCTGAGTAGAAAAGCCTGTCCTGTGCTAGTATACTGCAAAAAAGGGCCCTTGTTGTCTGTGTGGAAGCAGTGATCTCTCTGCAGATGTCTGGCATGCCCCTTGCTGAGACGAAGCTAGAGCTCTCCTATCAGCAAATCCCATGCTCTCCATCCACAAATGCTGGTGGCTGCACTGTCATACTGACCCAGCGCCTTCAGTATCAGGAGACGTCACTCTGTCATTGTCAGAGGTGGCCAGGTGACTGGCATTTTCAGGGAGCAGTGATGGCGGTCTCTTATTTTTCTTAATACAGATAACTAAAGCAGCAAACTACCAGTGAGAGGCAGAGAACATGATGGTTTGGACGCAGCTGTGATAAGCATGCACAGAATTATTTGTTTTGGCTGTACAATGCTTTTTTGTCTTTTTATCTCCCCAAATACAAAATAATATTAGTCTGTTGTTGATAAGAGTACATACAAGTGTCCAAGCATTTTTTTGTGTGTGAATGCTCACATTGACTGGACACAAATCTCTCATTAATATGCTGTAAACGTGTGATAATTGGCTTGGTGAGCTCAGTACATTCTTCTTCTGGGATTCCAAACTGAGCTAATAAAAAAAATGAATACATTGGATCAGAAAACATTCACGCATGGAACTGTGATAGTCCCAGACACCAGTATTCTTGATTTTATGGTTCTTGCTGACCAGTTGTTTCTGTGGGTCATTACATGGAGGATCATCATATTGGGGCAGCCTTTGGATGATATGGGCAGCCTGATTGCCTAAAGGGGTTTTAGAATGATAGGAGAACCCCTTAAAATATAGGAGTTGTTAGATGCTTTTTCCACTGAATCCTGTTTGCAAACCTTCGTATTCACCTTTTCGTCATCGCTGCATTTCCATGTTTTCTCACTTCCTTATGGAGGGTGGCCAATGACTTATGACTTAAAGTAGACGTAAACCCGTTCACTAAAATCTCACATAATCTTCACCAATTTCTAAATTCATTTTTATTGTTTGTAAATCTGAAGTTTTCTGCAGTGTATCTCAAGATATACAAGGAGGCACCTCAATGGCTGCATCCAGTATGACTGATCCTGCGTCCCATGATCTGGTGACCCTTGCTTACAGAAGGTGCCCTTAAGGACTGCAATCCACGAGGGAGTAGGATCAATCCTGGCCTCCATACAGGGATTCCCTACTGAATAGTTGTAAATTAAATTAAATCCTATAAATGACAGTTGGGAGAACTTTTATTATTCCCGGCCCTCTCTTTTAAAACTCTAGCTAACCCTTCTTTGACCAGTGGAGGTAAGTCAATGCTCCAGGAGGCACCTCAATGACTGCATCCAGTATGACTGATCCTGCGTCCCATGATCTGGTGACCCTTGCTTACAGAAGCTGCCCTTAAAAAGACTGCAATCCACGAGGTAGTGGGGTCGATCTTGGCCTTCAGACAGGGATTCCCTACTGTATAGTTTTAAATAAGATTGGGAGAACTTTTAGGATTCCTGGCCCTCTCTTTCAAAACACTACTACTAACCCTTCTTGACCAGTGGAGGTCAGTCCATGCTGCAGGACATGGGACAATTTACTGAACTCAAAACTGGGTCCAGGATACCAACCAAGACGGGCATTACCATTGTATTCTTCCATACACTTTGTGGTGTAGAACTAACTGAAACAATACAACGTCTAAGGCTGACCCTACACTATGCATTTCTTTTATTATGTATCAATATATTTTAGAGCTTAACCCTTAGTGGTAGTTTGAATGTTTTGCATTTCTTATAAGAAAAATTTACCTTTTTCATTGTGTAGTATTTTCTTTGTTCTGGGCCTTTAAAGTCATGATAATTGTAGGTGTTTTTATGCTGAATAATGGATTGGATGTTGGTGTGAGTACTGAGATCTGTAGGCTTTTGGTCTTTCTTTTTCAATACTTTTTATTGCAAAATGACAACATACATCCAGAAGAAGCATCGGCATAGCACAGAAATGATCTCAATCAGCCTACACAGTACACAATAAAAGGGCGGTAGCTGCCGGTGACAAAAACAGCATAATACAATGGTAATACCAAGTGGAGATTAGAACATTTACCGTATTTTCCGGCGTATAAGATACGAGACTGGGCGTATAAGACGACCCCCCTACTTTTCCTGTTAAAATATAGGGTTTGGGCTATTCGCCGTATAAGACTACCCCCCTCTTCCAACCAATCACGGCAAGCAATTGTACCAGTATTTTCTGTGCACACTGTGGCACACTGCATACAAAGCCTGCTTGGATTGGGTGGGTCAGCTCTCCCTGCCTGCCCAGCCCTGCCTGTCTCCAAGATACATAAATTGCACAGAACTGCCACAGACATTTAATATTAATAATTACCGTATCTCATAGCAGTTAAGGGGACAAGGTCGGATGCAGCAGTACCATACCGGTACTTCCGAGCTGACACTTCTGCACATGTCTAGGGCAGCAGTAGACGATCACTGATCACCATTCCTCGCAGAACTGCATGAGACGTCGGATGCAGCCGTTCAGTGCTCGATTGATCGTGACTGAAAACTGTGACATGCGCAGAATCACTGTGTATCCCTTCTCTGCATATCACAGTTTCAGTCAAGCTCAATCGAGCACTGCTGCATCCGACGTCTCATGCAGTTCTGCGAGCTACGGTGATCCGCGATCGTCTACTGCTGCCGAAGACATGCGCAGTAGCGTCAACCCGGAAGTATGGTAAGGTTTCAGCACAGCACCCGGCGTATAAGACGAGGCAATCCCCCCGACTTTGTAGACGATTTCCAGGGGTTAAAAATGTCGTCTTATACGCCGGAAAATACGGTATGTGATTGTGTATATACCCAAGAGCAATATCTGACTCAGGAGAGGTGGCTTTTGGTCTTTGACACTTACTGGGTATGTCAGAAGGTCAGTGGTGGTAGAAACAATTCTTTTTTCTTTTGTAATCAGGTGTGGGTAGAATGAAAAATCTCCAACTAAATCAATGCCAGCCCTTTGAGGAAATCGCTTGGCTGTGACGAAACACATTGGGGCGGAGCCAGTGACATAACGCTCCAACCCGAAAGTTTGCACATAAAGCCTAATATGGATGTCAATAGATGGACTCTTAAGGGGACAATGACATAATATTAATGCAATTTTACTGTTGCGCACTGGTTGAATTGCACTTGAATTTTATTGTGAGTGGCTTTCTTTTAATTATTGTTTTTGAGCTGTATATGATACATGGGGGATTTAATCCTTTTGCCTGGAGCTCTGAATTGGATTGTATTACGAGGAAGTGATCAGTTGATTCATGATAGAGATTTGATATCCCAATTAAAGGGGAAGGCGCAAAGTGACCTATTGTATGGATGTCAAGGCACTGGGTGAGCATTTGGTGTGACAGGTGGTGGAGCACATAAGGTGGCCACATAAAAGGAGGATCTTTCCACACCGTGGAGCACAGATATACTGGACTTTATTTAAAGTGAAACACACATGGACACTTGAAATTGTGTTAAATATAAATTTGTTTATTTGGTATTGGCACTTTTGTATTAAGGAGAACTGTGTGGTTGCACTGGATTTTTTTTACACTCATATAGATATTTGGTGTGGGAAAACATGGAAGTATTTAGTAGCGACCAGGTGGATATTTATTATTTTTTCTAAAGTTTGTTTGGGGTATCTGAAGGTTTGGTAGCACAGTTTTTTTATTTTAATACTACTCAAATATTACCCACAACCACAGAAAGCTCCATCTTCACAGTTGCCAATGCATCTTATGGATCCAGTACTGATAACCGAAGTGTATTTTTTCAAATTCCATCTATAGAGATATTTTTTTCATATTT